TATATATATATATATATATATATATATATATATATATATATACACATGTATACATGCATACATACATACACACAACTTCAAAATAACATAAATTCTCAACCTGTACTGAAAACAGTTTCTGCATCTCAGCGCCACCAGCTGGTGAGAGGCCGTGACGTCAGTTTGAACCCCGCCCACTGGAACCGGTACTGAAAGCATAATGGAAACACAACCTGTACCGTACCGAGTAGAGTAGAGCCGGCCCGTACCGGCCCGTACCGGTACTAATGGAAAAGGGGCATTAGAGAGTCCTGTTACATACAACATACAGGCAGATGAGGGGAAAAAAGAACATGAGGGTGGAAGAAGCCAAAAAAAAAATCATGTCTCACACCATGTCCTGGCCAGGAAATGGTGTAAAAGATGCAAAAAAAGACCATGCAACATAAAATGGCAACATACAACGACATCATTATACATTTATGCATAGAGGTTGACAAAGATCCTTGTATACTGTTTCTTTTTATACTTTATATTCTTGCTATTTTTGGGTGTAACTGGACATTTTCGTTCCACCTCATGTACCACATGTGATGCGAATGACAATAAAGAAACTTGAACCTTGAATATACACAATACTGCAGACATGAAAACAACTTTTTCATCACCTACCAGCCTGTTAAAGTTGTTACAGTAAAGGTTTCAAATGTCAAGGAATGGTTGTTTGAACTGATCTTCCCCTTTTTTTGTTTTGTTTGTCTGCAGTGAGACTCAGATCAAATACGACCACTACCTTGTTCCTAACGCTCTGCTGGAACATGGTCTGCTGTGCCTGGAGCAAGGCAGGAAAAATGATGCAATTAAACTACTAGAAACAGCAAAGTAAGAATTTAACTTGCAAAACATTTTTTTTTTTATGTTTATCAAAATGTAATTTATCTACTTTATTGCAGCACCTAACTGAAATTCTGCATGCTTTATAAACACAATACTTTACCAAAGATATTGTTTTACTTAGAGTACATTCATTCTTTCATATGGTTATTAGTTGATTTTGTTAGTTTTTTAGTAAGTCTTGAATGCATATGTAACATTCTGTTTCTTTTTCAGGCACAATTACAAAAACTACTCCATGGAATCACGGACGCACTTCCGTTTACAAGCTGCTTTGCACAAGGCCAAGGGCACTGGAGAGAATGGCATCAGTGTGCCTTGTAGCCCATAAGTGCAGTGACAGATTTCTGTTCCTGCAGTCCCACAATGCAACACTCAGCCAGACCAGCTCTGCCTGTTTGTTGGGGCTGGAGATTTTTTTCCCTCATTCATCAAGATTTTGAATGAAAATGGAGACATATTTCCCTCATGTTTGCCATTGTTACGGACAGCTGCTTTGATCAAATTACTATGCTCTCGTGAAGAAATATAAAATTTACAGTAACTTTACTTCTCCACATGATTTAAAAAAATTAGTTGAGAAATTGTCTTATGTTTATGAAGCAATGCTTCTAGCAGGCCTTTGAGTCTTTCACAATTAGGGCATTAGAACAGAAAACGGGTCAAATTTATTTAATGAATACAACATGTTGTCCCTGAAGTTATAGGAATGTTCAGTGCAGAATACTAAAGCACCAAACAGCCTCAAATAAATGGCAGATGCTAATCCCATTAAGTTGGCAGCTCTGTGTAAACTACTGTCAGCAAGGCTCTTCCACCTTTTTGTTTAATGTAAACTAGAGGTTTTAAAGAAGGTGACATGCAATTTTGCGCTGACACAGGTAAACATTAGATTATGCAGCTCACAGCTAAGTGCACGTGTCCCTCACCAAAACCAGCTTGATCTATCTTAATTCTGTATGTGGGATTTGTGTATTTACACAACATAATAGGTTCATTGTCTGAATCGGTGAGCATTTTATTGTGTATGCTGTTTTCATTGTTCCTTTCAAACATACTGAGATAGTAAAAACAAAAAAAAATATTGATGCAGACGTCTCGGACAAATCTGTTTTTTTAAGCACCCTGCATTGTTCTTTACATTTACTGTAAAGTTCACCTTTTACATGAATTGTCATGTTTTAAAAGGACAGATGAATGTATCTTTTTAAAAAAGGCAAACTCCCTCCTTTTCTTCTCTTGGTGTGTGACAGACTCCAGCAGTACTTCAGCTTGAAATAGCAGGCCATTCACAGCAAGTTGCAAAGGACTGCATGCATATCCTTCTGCTGCATCTTTACTAGGTGAACTTAACCACAGCAACTACAGAGGCTACGCAAGTGTGAGAATCATCACTGAACATCCTCTGCTGCTTCGTTACGATATACCCATTCCTTGAATTACCAGCAGAACAACTTGAAAACTAAAACCACATCCTGGTTATCTGTGCTTGAACAAATATGGCACCCCTGTATGACTGGTGAATAGGTTACTGGAAAGGATGAACCTCTGACTTTTCAAACATATTAAGTGATAAGGTGCCTTGAGAGTGCTGGAGTAAGTCTGGCTGATTTATTTATATAGGACAAATGTTTGGGATGTTTGGGAACTTGAATACTTGGAGTCGGTTTCTAATATTTATTGGTGAAGGAAGTGTATTAGAATTGATGTAACTGCAGTCACTCTTGAATATTTCCATATAATTTCACACTTTGTTCTAACAATTAATTGTACTTTTTTTTAATTTTGCCCTTTGGTTTTACACATTGCCAATCTGGAAGAAATTCAAACCAAACATGTTTTGCGTTTACACAATGTATTAAGCATGGTTACCCACTGAGCAAAAATTGTTTTTCTTTACATGTTTTGTTGTAATTTATGATACAATTATGATTGTCTTCTGTTATGTGTGTACCAGATTTTTTTTATGTGAAGTATGCACACTGAAGTGGTTTTAATAACAACAAAAAGGCAGATTATGCTTGCATTTTTTGTTTTGCACGCATTCTTTTATTAACAAATTAATGATTTTTGTCTTTAAATACAGAGCAGTGGAAGCCGGAGTAAACGTTTTCTCAGTTAAAAATGGATAAATAGAGATTTAAATTATCAAGTAAAAACTTTGAGATTGTATAAACACATTAAGCTTAGAGGAATAGTCTGCACAGCACAGAAAACCTGCTGTCAAAAGGAATACAGTACTATATAGCAGATTACAGCTCCATGTTTATGTTTTTAACGCCGAATAATATGTCCACACGTCTGATTGGCTGTCAACAAGAGCGTCATGAACGAACGTGCAAGCTTATTGGCTCGTTGTCTAAATGGGCGGGGCTTTTTTGTTGTACGTCACCACCTTTTGTCGTTACTCAGCAGCTGCTTTGAAAGTGGAAAGTCCCTGACAGCTAGCCAGGCTTCAGACAGGAGAACTGTAAATAGTTCTTTTCATTTCAAATGAGAGACGCTAATAATTTAGTGGGCTTTGTTGCGTCTGCAGATATAACATTCTGCCAAAGCCGAATTTTAGGAGGTTAAGCGACATGTTCGCCTCCGAGTGCTAGCTGTTAGCAGGCTAGCTTTTTGTGTGGCTAGCTGAGTGATGTTTTGTTATTGTTGAAGTGGGCAGCCTCCCGACGTCTGGGAGAGGAGAATCAGCTGTGAATGGGAAATCGTCCTCTCGACGCTATCCGAACCGCTGACATTTTCTGTGAAAGTGAGCCGTAAAATCCCTCGTTGATAAGGCGACAGAAAATAAAGGAGCAGAGTTTGATAGAAGAGGACGGAGATGGGAAACTGCCTGAAATCTCCGACCTCGGATGACATTTCTCTTCTACACGAATCGCAGTCGGACCGGGCCAGCTATGCAGACGGTACCGAACCGGATCAGGAGCCACCGCCCCCCTATCAGGTAACTTTCACCAACACATACCAGCTAGCCGTTCGTAAACAATTATTAAAACTAAATTTAGTTCATGTGTGATGTTCAGAAGTTCTGGAGTTTGCTTTTATCTGAGATCATACTTGAAAATCGACTTATTCTTATTTTGTTTTCACACACAGAGCACCATGAATTTGTCTTGCCTGCACTGTACTTTTGTTACAAAATATTTTTGCACTACATAACCGTGTAAAGCAACAAAACAGGCTACCCTGAGAAATCTAGGTAAGTAACACAGAACAAGTACACACTAATGGGGAAAAAAACTACTTCAACTTAAAATGCCATCAGTGTGCACAAAGCCACCATTGATCCAGCATGTTCTTGAACAGATGCTTACTTCTCATTCCCAACATCAACACTCTTCCTGTCAAGCTGCTATTTGTTCGTGTCAGTAGTTTTTCCCACCCAGTGTTGTATGCTTTCTTCACCAGTATTTCAGATGTTTAGGTCTTTCATTTTCATTTGTTAGTCTGTATTTAATTTTAAGTACAGATTAGTAAAAACTCGAGGTGCAAATGAAATATTTATAATCTTGACGATAATGATTAATAATAATAAAAAAAATCTTATAAAAGATACAGTCCACTGCAATACATTTGTAAGACTTATTTATTCTGACTCCATCATTTGGGCTCTGTAGGCTGGATTGACCTGTAGACTCATCTTCCTACGGGCAGGACGGCTCTAGCATCAGCTTCAGTATCGTTACTAGCGACTACACACTTTGTGTTTAACTGATACCTTAACTTGACGCCCTGAGATGAGAAAATTCCTTCAAGTTAAACGCGACTATGTTCCTCTTCAAAGTACAATCGGGTTTTTTTTTTGGGAGGATGTTCTGCTCTAAAGCCAACACTTGTCAAATGCAGGATGTTTGGGTGTCCCTCCACTCCTTATGGGGGGGGGCAAATTCCAGGACTTTCCCACCCAAATCAGGAGGGTTGACACTGGTATAAGTTCTAATTCTTTCACTGAGCAGCTTGACTACAATAAAGTTCAGTAAAACACAACTAACCTTGAAGTTTTAGTTAGTGAAACGAAGACGAAAGAAGCATGCAGCTGTTTATGGAACTGAAAAAAGACAATACTCTTGTAATGTTTATCTACTTTATAGACAAAAACTTCTATAATTTTCTCACCAACTCCTTTGAGAGCTTCGTGCACCATCTTTGCCCGGTCTGTTTTTATTTTTTATATAAGATCAACAATAAGCACACCAAGTCATGTTGTACCTGTAAATATGTTTGTTTTTCCATATTAGGTGTGTTTTTCTGGGACAAGATGTGGCTGGAAAGTGTTATTTAGGGCACTGTGTAAGACCTTGCTCATTACTAGGTCAAACCAAGTCTTATCTGTAGGTTTAAGATAAGTATTTTAAAAACATGGTCAGACTGAGTTCAGTCAGTGTCAGTAACGGGGTGAACTCTCATGGTAAAAAGTTAACAATTATGTAATTTTATATTTAAAATAGTGTGACAAAGTCCATTTCTTTCACAGGTACTCATTGCAACAGCAATCAACCTCGAGGGAAAATTTAGTGACATTATCAAAAGTTCTAATAATATATAATTTGATATTAATATTTAACAAACTAGATTTAATTAAATAGTCAATATTTGAGATTTTAGAATAAAGAGAGATTATTAATTACTCATCAAAAAAACTAAAGTACGTGAATAACACACAAAGTTGTGATCAGTAAATCTTTATCTATCACTCCTGTTTGTGAAATATAGCATATTATAAAATAAAAATGCATCGTATGGATTATTTTAGTTGTTACTATTCCACCACTGGGTGCTTCTCCTGTTAAGATGTATAGGTGTAGTACATGTAAAATTACCTTGAGATGAACGCCAGGACCCAAAGTTTGCTTCTAGTATTAGATCTGTATTGTTTTGTTATACTTAATTTTTTTTTGTGTATGGGTGTTTATTTTGTGAAGTAAATAATCTGGCAAAATCCTAATCTCAGGACACACTGCTTGGTGATCCATAAACAGCAGACATGAAAGTCAACAATGGAACAAATACATTTTTATTGTCTCTCTTTATCCACATTATCTAGATTAGAGGTTCTCAAACTTGGATCCCCGCACCCCCCGGGGTTCCACAAGTGCGTGCTCAAGGGATGGCCCACATTTTTTATTTATTTATTTATTTTATATATAAGCACATAGATGTTTAACAACCCATTAAAATACACCAAAATTCAGGAAATCACATCTACTTTATTCAAAATTTTCTGGTGGAGGACCCCCCCCCAGAATCTACCACCCCATCCCCGGCCCACTATTTGCATTCAGGCATGGATCGGTTTACAAATGAAGCCCTGTTACATGGTATGACTACTGCTGTTGTGATTCTATTCAGTTTTATATAAAGAGTTTTCTGTAATAATTTGAAGAAGTGGTCATACATTTATGTTCATTATGTGAATAGGTAAAGTTTTAAAGTGGTTTTTCATATTGTTAATTTTCTCTAAATTAATTTTTGGAAGTTGAAATGAAAAATTTTGTTAATGTTGTCTTGAGTGAAAAATACCTCATGTTTAAAAGTATAAAAATTGTATTAACACTATTAAAGAACAGGTCTTAAGTAATTACGTTGCACAAATTCAGGAAAATTATTTAATAAACATGAGAGTTATGAGGGGGTCCCTGAAACTTTTTCTCCTCTGTAAGGAGTCCCTGAACCCAAAACCTTTGAGAACCTCTGATCTATATTACCGTTGTTCCACACAACAACTGTGATATTACAGTATGTGACGCATATTTGACCTTTTAGAAAATTGAAATTTTGTTGCCTTTATTTGCAGTCATTGCACATGCTCAGTCTTCATGATTTATTTTTCCAGACATTTTTCACCATTGATATCAAATTGGAGAATAAAGGGTCATTCTCAGTTTTCAACATTGTCACAAGCATACAGAACGTACATTTTTGAAGACCCCCCTATTCCCCTCAAAAGCGTCCAAGCAAATGTTAACTTACACTAAATGTTTTGCTAAGCTAAGCTTGACTAGGCATCACCTTGTGACATTACCCTTAAATAACCTCTGACTCATGGTGTCCGTTTACAGCCAATAACATGGACTTAAACATTACCAAACAGGAAATTAATATCAACCCATTTCCACACTCAGACGTTGTAAACAGTCAGAAACATTACACATAATTCCCACAAGACTACCCAGCATCCTCTGCAGCTCACACAGTTTCTGGGACACAACTCTCTCACAGAAAGGACTTTGAGTTTGGGGGGAAAATAAAATGGTTAAAAGGAGACATGCGTCTTTGCTTTAATCTAGGGCATACAAATATTTATCTTTTAGTCTTAATAATGTTTTAATTATAAAAACTAAATTAGCAGAAGCACGAGTCAAAAGGCTGCAGATGAACTGATGAACATTAGTTGTGACCGCCCGCTCGCGGGATTAAACAACAGCACAGATTTATTACCCGGGGAATATTAATGATGATGATGATGAACAGCAACTTTGCAGTTAGTTTAAACAGTTAACCGCAAAGTGAGTTAATTCATTATAGTAAATGACATGTGGGAGACGTCCGACACACATTTAATGTATCGCGCTCTACTTCAGTCCAGCAGACTTTTGCTCCACCTCTTTTGGTTCTGCTCAAAGCTCATATCTGAGCGGGCTGTGGACGCTTCACCTGTGATTTGTGAACAGTTAAGAGGAAGGCAGTGGTGGGCACGAATCCACTAATAACGGAACTAACTTCCTGTTCAGCGGATTAGCATTTTCACTAACTTTGAAAACCTTCAGCGGAATTACTCTAAGTGGAAATCCTGCAAATTCAAGTCCTCAAATTTTTTTAATGCAGTTCTCCACGCTAAAAGCACACAAGAAAATGGTGATTTAAACAGAGCAATGCTATGTTTTTTAGAATGTTGTCATCACTCTCGCAGTGCTTTTCCCCCGTCATACCTATCAAACAGTCTCAGACTCATGGTGTCAGTTTACAGCCAAACGAGTACAGTAAAATAACATAAACCCATTTTTACACTCACAGTCAGAAACATTGCACACATAATTCCTACGCTGTACGTTTTACAACGCTCACACTTTCTCTTGGACATGACCCTCTCACACATGATTTCACACATCTTTACACATTTGTGAAGACATATTATGTTGCTCCAATCCACAAGTAAACATTGTCAGGCCAACAAGCTGGGTCAGTTCATGAAAACTAATCTTTCTAGTAACATGGTCTTAGAGGTCTATTTATAAAGACATTTAATTTATAATAAAAATAATGAACGTTGTGACTTAAATCAATGCATCAGAGCTTCTTAGTAATACATTCATCGGTACCTAGGCCTGTCGCGATAAACTATAAATCAATTAATCGCCTGATGAATGAAAATTATCAACCTCATTTTCCGGCTTTATCGTTTCTTCGTGTCTCTCTCTTTCCACTGAAGACTGGATGACAAAAGGCTCAACACTGGTGCTCTTCATTTACCCCTCTTTTTCTCTTTAAAATCTGTTTTAATCGTCCATAATCGAGTTTTTGTATTGTTAAAAGCAGCTAAGCTGAGAAGCTAAGCTGAGAAGCTAAGCTACGAACTAAGCTAACAGGCCGACCTCGTGAATAAACCTCAGTCTTGTCGAGCTCCAAAATTCACGGTTGAAGCTTGTGCCTTTGTGTAAAAAGTTGTTTTTTTCTGCAAAAAGAAGCTGAAAACTTGTTTCCTCATTTTTTTTTATTAAAAGCTTTGTGTGAAAAATGCTATGCTAAAGAGCTCAAATCACTGAGCGTCCACCATGTCAGCCCATGTCTAAGTGGCAGAAGTGTTCCTGTTTTTAGTTTTCTACATTCGCCTTATAATGTAGCTGTTTTTTGTTACTTTTTTTGCCATCTTATTTGAAAAAAAAAAAAAAAAAATCTGTATGCCTTTTTGTGGCTGTCTATTGTTGTCGCTGTTGTCCACGGTTT